TTTATAATATTGATGATTATTTTTTAACGTTAAACCAATAGGCGGTATTGTAAGTGTCTTTTTAAATTTTTAGAATTTTTTAAAACTGATGTTTTTTAATAATTCTTCTAAATGCATTTTATAAATCTGTAAGTTCTGTATATTTTATATTTATTGTTAAGTGTTTTTAGTTCTGTATATCCATCCATCCATCCATCCATCCATCCATCCATCCATCCATCCATCCACCCATCCATCCATCCATCCATCCATCCATCCATCCATCCATCCATCCATCCATCCATCCATCCATCCATCCATCCATCCATCCATCCATCCATCCATCCATCCATCCATCCATCCATCCATCCATCCATCCATCCATCCATCCATCCATCCATCCATCCATCCATCCATCCATCCATCCATCCATCCATCCATCCATCCATCCATCCATCCATCCATCCATCCATCCATCCATCCATCCATCCATCCATCCATCCATCCATCCATCCATCCATCCATCCATCCATCCATCCATCCATCCATTATTATTATTATTATTATTATTATTATTATTATTATTATTATTATTATTATTATTATTATTATTATTATTATTATTATTATTATTATTATTATTATTATTATTATTATTATTATTATTAATATTATTATTATTATTATTATTATTATTATTATTATTATTATTATTATTATTATTATTAGAACCAGATTAGATCTATTAACCAATATAAAAGATTAGTGCAGTCGAAAGGACAAAAGAGAATTGAAGAGGAGGAGGACTGATGGAAAGTGTAAAATAGGCTTAAGGTTTTGTTGAATGTGATGTTTAGTTGATAGAGATTTTATATAATTGTCAAAATATATTTATTCAAAGATAAAGGCGTCATATTATTATTACTAAACATAAGAAAGAGCTGAACCCCAAAAAATTTAAATTTTAATTGAGAATTTTGTACCTTTTCCAAGAGTCGTTTCACCTATCTGAGGTCACACTGTAGGTATATATAAACATCCAAATGGGATCCACATACAGTGTTAAAAAGAGAAACTTCTGGAAAGCTGATTATACATTAATCAATAGTGTGATAGCTCAATATAGTGCACATTTGCAAGATACTGCTAAACATACTGCACAAAGTAATAAATGACAATATTCCACTAGAAGTAATAAATAAAAACCCTGAAAAACCCTGAATCAATCGAAACCACTTTAAAGAAATTAATAAAAAACAGAACCTATGGCCTAGGTACAGGTCAACAAGAGCTGAGGAAGATTACACTACATACAGAAATCAGAACAATAAACTTAAAAATTTATGGGCTTTATCTAAAAAAGATTATAAACATAACATCTTAAAAAGTAGCAAAAATAAATTTTACTCCTATGTAAAAAGATAGCAGAAAGATTTGCAGAACACTTTAGTGCAGCTTAAACAACAGAACCTAATACAGAATTACCACAAATAACTGCAACAGAAAGAGTTGAGAATAGCATAGTAAATATAGAATTTACCCCAGTAATTTGCAATAGATAGTCTTAAACAAGATTCAAGTCCTAGAACAGATAAAAGCTCACCCATTTTTATTAAAAAATGTTCTAATAGCCTCGCGACAGTTATGAATGACTATATGCAAAAGGATCTTGGTGTAATCATACCAAAAGACTTAAAATGGGAAACCCACATTGTTAATATAGTAAAAAAGTCAACAGTCTCATTTACCTTATCAAATGAGCTTTTAAAGACCATTCCGAACATAGGATCCTCAAACTGTACACAACTTACATAAGACCAAAACTAGAATTTCCGTTTGGGATCCGTTCTTTGTTAAAGACATTAAAATGTTGGAAAGAGTACAAAAGAGTCACCAAAATACCACCAACCCTACAACACAATGAGTATTGTGATCGGCTAACCAAACTACAACTTTCAAGTTTAAAGGATAGAAGAACTAGAGGAGACTCGATAGAAACTAAGTGGACCTGTAATAATATCTTCCAGGCTAGCACCTCAAGAACCTTGAGAGGTCACTCAAACAAATTAGATAAATAAAAGTATATTGAACTGCAAAGAAAACATTTCATTACAAACAGAACTGTGGAATGGTCTCTAGGCACATACGGTCTCAGCCCAGAACATAAACCATTTCAAGGCGAGAGTGGATAAAGAACTCGAAGAAACAAATAATTTTATTCATTATAGTTTATATAGTATATTAAGTTTTAACTGTCATGTATTAATTAAGAATAACTTTTGTCACTAACTAAAGGAGCAGCTTCATCGACTATGTCGCTTGCCTGTTCTTAAGAATAATAAAAAATAATAATGATAATAATAAATTGGGTTCACTTGACCTCTACAATATGTCCCAGAAATTTAAGGACACCCTGTATATTGATATATAGTTTTATTTAAGCAGATAAATGAATACTTAAAATAATATCTGCTGATTCAGAAGTTTTTTCCTAAAAAGTGCAGAAAGTGTCTTTTTCACACAGAATATCTCAACCCAGGGTTTTACCATCAGCTTGGTAGAAGTCCATTAAATAGTACTTCCAAAAATGAGGCACCTCTCTGTGACATTATTAACTTGCAGGACTTTGACTAGCCGAGAGGCTAGAAGATAAGATAAATATACCCCAGGAGGAATCACAATGGGTCTAGCGAGGCCCTAGTGATGTGGAATAACACATCTTCCCCTACCATACAGATTCAATGAGACTGCGGTTGCCCAAAAAATTCAAAGTGGAGTGTAGGCAAAGTGATGAAAAACACTTCCTGCTTGTGTTAGAAAGAACCTTTTTTCAATTAGTGCCAAAAAATAGAAAGTAAATAAAAACAACATACTTATTTTAATAAAATAATACTACACATTATCTATATCTCTGACATGTGTAGAGGGTGGGCTAGCCCATGACACTTATGCCTTACTAGGCCCATTGGGCATCCTCCTAAATTGATAGGCCCCTCTTAGTTCGTAAAAGATTTAGGTTCGTATTTATAAACAGAACTCAGCTGAGTTGGACTTGGGTGAGTCATCCTTGAAAATCGAAGTTCGGTTATATCACATGAATTTAGAGATGGATAGTAACAAATCCGTAAATGTACTTAACAGTTACAGATTTGCTAATATCCATCTCTAAATTCCAGTGTAACACCAGAACCACCTAGAACTTCAGAGACATAACTGAACTTCAATTTTAGTTCAAGGATGACTTATCCAAGTCTCACTCAGTCGAGTCCTGTTTATAAATACAGACCAAAAAGCAAAAAGTAAAAGGGACATAATCTCAGTATTGACTTTTTAAGTATAAACCTAAGGTCCATATTTATAAACAAAACTCAGTTAAGTCGGACTTGGCTGAGTCATCCTTTAACGAAAATCGAAGTTCGGTTATATCATGTGAATTTAGAGATGGGTAGTAACAAATCCAAAAATGTACTTAACAGTTACAGATTTGCTACTATCCATCTCTAAATTCCAGTGTAACACCGGAACCACCTGGAACTTTAGAGACGTTGTAACTGAACTTCGATTTTAGTTCAAGGATGAATTACCCAAGTCTGGCTCAGCTAAGTTCTGTTTATAAATACGGACCTTAAGGGTGGATTTATAAACTACGTTCAGTTCGCACTCAGTTCGAGTTGGCAAGACATAACCACAAATTCCACAAAATAAAATTATATTTCGTTATTTTTTTTTAATTATATTTGTAGATGGTATTGGTTATAAAATAATTATGAATCCGTTATAATTTTTTATCCAAAACATACTTACCGTGTCATTCTACTGTTTATGTTGAACTCGAACTGAGCGTGAACTGAACGCGAACTGAATGTAGTTTATAAATCCACCTTAATGAGGAATGAACGTTAATTCTGCATATGAACCAAGACATCCTTAAAATTCAAATAAATGCTATTCTTTTCCACACTATAACTTGTCTAATAAAAGATATTTACTTTTCCACTGAAATGTGTATAAAAAGTAAAAAGCTGGTATTTTTTGCAAGCTCGTAAGAAAAAATTAATTTAAAAATAATCTGCATTTTAAGGGCTCTTTCAGACACAACGGTTTTGTTCGTATGGAGAAAATTCGTACGAATATTTTCCGTGTCTTGGTAGAATTCACACTCGACGGTTTTCTTTTCCGTGCACTGTCTTTAGCTATTGTATTTTATGTCAGTTGGTTATCGACATAAATAGAAAGCACACCAATGCCATGTGGCTTTTGTACCGTCATATTCAAAAGTATCGAAAACGACATAATCGTATATACTAGGTGCACCCAATTAATCAGAAAAGAGATAAAGTGGGCCTATTCATTTGCTTAATGGAAGATTTACGTACAGACGAAAATACAATTTTTAATTACCTTCCGATGTCTATTGTATCCTCTGATGAGCTTCATAACCAACTATAAAGCAATATTCAGCGGCATAATACTAAAATGAGAAACTGCATGGAACCTATGGAAATAATAGTTGTGACACTGAAGTAAAAGAGTTCTATATATGTTTGTTTCGTTACTAGTTTATTAACTACCAAATATGTCAAACTACTAGGTTATAATATTGTCATTCATGGTCATATTAACGCGTAAACTAAAACACAAAATATTTTTGATAAATAAAAACCAAACGGCACGCAATAACGGACGGCGGACAGCTAAATATGTCATATATGAAAGCCTGCATAAACTTACATAGGCCACTGATAGACGGCGGCGGTACGGTACCGTACAATTCAGTCGTTGACACGGCTGTTTTCAAATCGACCATATGGAAAAAATCCGTCACGGTCCAGTATGAAAGCTGCAGTTAATTTTATTAGTTTACTATTAACGACGCACGGAAAAAATCCGTACGAATTTTTTCCGTACGGACGAAATCGTTGTCTGAAAGAGCCCTAAATGTTCTATAATCTTCCTGAAAATAAGTGTCAAATTTAGTTACACTTATTTAAAGTTGTTCTGATAAAAAATAAAATGTTTACCAGTGTCATCCATAATTCTAAGAACAAAGTATCTGGAGGAATCACTAACAGGTTCGATAGATATCCCAGGATATGTTTCAATTGGACATTTTGCAAAAAGCTCCCCCGAATTTTTATCTTCGAGTTTTATAAAAACTTCATTTCCCTTTGAAATTAATCTCATTCTACCTGTCCATGACGGTTCTGCCAAATTCCAATCAGCAGCCCTGTAATATTAACAGATTTTATTAAATGTATATATTTTTTTCAGAATTATCACATCAAATCGGAAGTGGGTGGATTGAATGTTTTTATATAAAACAATAAGGGTTACCTATAATTTCTATTTGAAGCTCTTGGAGGTATATTGAAAACAAATACCTCTGGTTTAACTAACAACACACTTTCATAAGTATCCATTTGGAAAATTCAATATTGTTCTTCCAAGATTTTCACAATCAACATCAGAATAGTTTCTCAATGTTTTAAAATGTGAAACGTCATTAAAGTCAACGTCATTAAAGTCAACGTCAATGTCAATGTCAAAATTTAAAAAGGTGTGTTATTTTGAAGATACGTGCCTTGTTCTTTAAATTCAACAATAATTGTCTCATCAGCGATTGATGTCATGACGTCACTGATTAATGGTGCATGTTCAAAAATTTTCAAATTTTTTTTATGAATAATAGATGCCGCGTTTGAGAATCCACATCGGATTCATTTTTTACATCTCGAGCGTTTTTTATCCACATCGGACACATCTACTACATCTACATCTGCGTTTGTTTATCCCAGATGTGCCTGTTCAGGGGTGCTATTTTCAAAGTCGAGAGAATTCATTTCTCTCGAGAGAAATGTCATACGTCAACGTAAAACAGTATTTTTAGGGTAATAAGGGCCAGTGTAAACTCACTGATTGTTTCTCACGGTTTATTTAGAGATAATTAATATCCTCCTAAGAATTTTAATCCTCGAAGCCTTTAAAAACAGCGTTTCCACATTGACGTATGACATTTCTGATGAGAATCTTTGCTGCGTTTGAGAATCCACATTGGATGCATTTTTTACATCTCGAGCGTTTTTTTATTCACATCGGACACATCTATCCCATTACATTTACGTATACTGAATCACGTGATCAAAGATTTTTTACATCTCAGATGCATCCTATGTGGATTCTCAAACGCAGCACTTGAGAGAAATGAGTACTCACACGGTTTGAAAATAGGTCCCCTGGGTGCCTATGCTTGAGCGCGAGAGAAATTGAAACTCCCCAGGGAATTTATTCACTTGCTTTTCACTCCCTCAAAAAAGTGGTATTCTTGAATTGAAATGAAAGTAACGGGAAGAGAAATTAGATGTGGAAAAGTACTACTGAGTTGCCAAATCGTTGAAAGTTATCCAACCAATTAGAAATTACGAATTTTTGACAGCAAATGACAACTATCGACATATTCGACATGCTAAAAGTCACTGACAATAATAATTATTTATAAGTTATAAGTATTTTTCTAGTTTTGTCTCGAGTTTGAATTATTTATTTTCTCCTTTTGTTATGGATTCAAAAAAAAAGCACGACCTCAAAACAAAAAGAAATATTAATACATTTTATTGATAAACATCCAGAGATGTACTCTGGAAAATTAACAAATAGGTTTACTATGGAAACATCCAGAGCACTCTGGGAAGAAATTAGTAATTTGTTAAATTCTATCCCAGGGGCTCCTGCTAAGGATTTTCGACAGTGGAGAAAGGTGAGTAAACCAAAAATTTGCAAATGGGTAAATAATCTACACAAAACTTACTAAAGCACTATTCATATTTTGTAAACAAATAAGATATATAGTTATATTCTCAATTTTGTTTTAGACCTGGACGGATATTAAAAAAAATACAAAATCAAAATTGACCACCAACCGACAAGAACTAAATGCTACAGGTGGTGGTGTTCCAGATATGTTGCAACTAACTGATATGGACAATAAAATATTACAAATTGTAACACCAACAGCTCTAGTTGGAGATGCTAGAATATTACAACCAAATGTTATATTTGATTTTTCTGTAAGTATATCTAAACCTGCATATATTGCTATATTTGCTAATTGTTTTTATACATATTTATGTTTAGAATAGCCATAATATACAAAGAAATGGTGCCTTGCCATCAGTCAAAGAAAGTGAAGTTGAAGGAGAACATGAAGTTGAAGAAGAGGTTGAAGTAAGTTCTTTAATAGTAATTCTTAATAACAGAGACAATCCTTAAGGTTGTTCATATTTTTAATGGAAAAAGGGTATCAACAAGTATTTCCTTGATAATCTCCATATTGTATTGTCTTCAATAAACAGCTACAGTACATACTTAGCACTTTGGCATTTGCCTTTGTGAATTATTATGTATTTCAAATTATTTTAATTTTAGGATGATCATAATTACAGCCAATTCCCTTTACCCACTGCTACAGTGATATCTGGAGAGGAAAAAGAAACTCCCAAAAAGAAATATATTTCAAAAACAACAAGATTATCGAAATCATTAGAACATGGAGCAAAGCTTCTGGAAACTAGTCAGAATAAAGTTTCAGTAAAGAGCAACTATTATGAGAGAAAATTAGCAATTTTAGAAAGAGATAGCAAAAATAATGAATGGTTCCAGAAAAAACAGGTGGCAATTGGTGAACAAACTTTAAAAGAGTTTACAGAAATTAAAGAAATTTTACTAAAGAAGTTTTGTTGAAACCCCTTATTATTTCAATTTTTGTTTGGTTTTTATTTTACCCCTAATGTTCTATTTTTTGTTTTGTTTTTATTTTATAGTAGAATTTAATATTTATTTTTTTTTTTAATTCTATATTTTATTTATATTTCATTTAATGTTTTGACTTATGTTTTGTTTCTTTATCCTCCAGCTCCAGAAAATAAAAAATTAATAAAAAAAGATGAATTTCTTAAAAAGCAAATCTTTATTCTGATAAATGAAAACAAATATACTTTATCTAAAGTGTTGCATTATAATTTGTTGTTGCAGTCTTCTTGCTGAAGCTAAATCTGGATCTACCCTGTTTTCAATAGCTTCACCATTGATATCTACAGGATACAATCCATAGTCAATATCTTCTAGTGGCTCTGGTTGTCCAATATTATGTTCTATACATAAATTGTGCAGAACAACACACGCGTTTGTTATAAGCCCTGCTTTTTCAGGCCCATAGTGCAACACTCTGTGTTTTAATAAGCATCTAAATCTATTTTTTAAGACACCATTGCATCGTTCTATTGTGCTTCGTGCCGTTTTAAAAGCAGCATTAAACCTTTCTTCTTGCTGTGTATTTGTGACTGTTAATGGAGTCAAGAGCCAAGGTCTTAAATAATATCCTGTAAAAGATTTATATATATAGTCAAGTGAAACATATTATGTTCTTAAAAATGTTTCATAAAATAATACAATATATAATTACCAGAATCGCCTATAAGAAATAATGGGTTTTCTGGATTTTCTCTGTATAGCCTCTCCATAATTGCAGCCACAGGAGATTGTCGAAATATCCTACAATCATGGACACTGCCAGGAAATGTTGCATTAATATTTAATATTTTTAAATTTTCATCACATATCTGTAAAAGGCCTCTAGTTAAATACACTGCTACTGGGATGAATAAACATAGTATAAAATGATCCACAAAAAATTAGTACAGTAGGCCATCGAAAAAAAGCACATACATGTCAAAACACCTTTTTAAATTGAAAGTTTGGACCACTGAGTGGCATGTAGTCATATTGAAATTACTGCATGATAAATGATGAGTTGTGCTAACTTGATATTTAAGATAGCACAATATTTAATATAAAAAAACATATTTGACCAAATTGATTGTTGATTTCACACTTAATTTGCACAAAAAAGCACAAAATTGTGTTTTTATTCAGAATGAAATTGCAAGATAAATAATAGAGTTATGATAACTTGGGTTTAAGCTAGCACAACTTTTAATTTAAAAAATATATAAATGCATGAAAATTGCGAATACTGCACAAAATTAAAGATAAGGTCCTGATTGCTTGGGTTGTGCTATCTTTATATAGGTCATGACTAGTATCTCTATCTTTGTTTGACATAACCTAATTTGGACACCTTTTTGTGGATTAGGTGTTACTTACTAGCTGAACATTCAGTGAATGGTAGCCCTTTCTGTTGACATATATATATTCTGGATGGAGAGGATCAACAGAATGGGGGGCCGCAATTGCTATATGCGTACAATCTACTACCCCCACTATTCCAGGAACATTGTATTTTAAGTAGAATCTGTAAAATAAAGCTTGATATTTCTATTTGAGAGAAAAATTATGTGAATGTGTAACTACCTAGTTCTTAGTTGTTCCAATTCTCCAATATTTCTAGGGAATTGGACCCACCTATCAAAAATATTGGGGTTATTTAAGGATCCACACACTTCTTCTACACAGCGACTAACACTAGATTGGCTAATCCCAGCAAAGTGATTACTGCCAACTATTTCCTGATAGCTACCAGTTGCTAGGAAACTTAATGTTGCAAATATCTAAAAAATAACAAATATTAAATAAATACACATTAAAGTAATATTTTTCTTTTTGAAACAATAACTTTATTAATCGTATTCTCATTTCCCATTTATGACAAATTTCGACAGTAAGTATAGAAATAATACCTTAGTTTCAACACTGAGGGCCGACCTACGACTAGGTTCTCTCAAATAAGGACGCAACATTTCAATGAGTTCCCTGGCAAGAGGCTTTGAAAGTCGAAACATCTTAATAAAATGGGTATCACTAAGGGTAAATGGATCTGTTTTAGCCAAGAGTCTTCTTTCTACAGCCTCGTTTACTTGCTGTTCCGCATCTTCTATGTTGTTTAAAATCTCTACGGCTACTAGATCGTCCAAATCCATTTTAAAAGTACAGCAAAGAACGTAAATATAAAACCTTCGAAAAATCCTAAAACTTACAACGCACAATAAAAAGCAATCCAAAGACGAAAAATAAACAAACGGTAATTATCAAAATTGAGGTTATATTTTGTTTTGACTTTTGACAGATATAAGCTGGAGTGCGTTTAGAAACCTCACACGGCGCGTCTGGACCCTACTCTAATGCATGTGGTCAGACGCGCCGTGCGAGGTTTCTAAACGCACTCCTGCAACCGAATTCTCTGGGTATTTCTCCACCTAAAAGTAGGAGAAAGTTGAGTGAAAATATTCTCTATCAATCTTGGTGAATTCGATTTCAAGAATACGAATTTTTATGAGGGAGTAGAAAGTGAAAATTTTCTCTTGACATTTCTCTTTCCCCGAGTTCAAGCATACGCACCCTGATTACATTTTTTACATCTCAATTTGAAATGAGATGTGAATGAGATGTTCGTTCCATGCCAGAAAGTAAGTGTTCTGTGAAACCTTTTTTGTCAATTTATCCTTTGTTTATGAAAGCATGAATATAAAAGTGATTATTTTGTTTAATTTGTGTCTATATTTCAAATTTAGGTTGATTTGTAGTCTCAAAAGTCAAATTTATTAAACTTCTAACTTGTCATTGACATTTTATCACGTGCCCAAATAAAATCTAGAGCGTTTGTTTATTACATCTACATTCAGATCTAATTCTCTATCACGTGATAAAAAATTCACATCTCAGATGCATTCACTCAGCCTATTCCTACCTATTTTCAAACCGTGTGAGTACTCATTTCTCTCAAGATTCTCATCAGAAATGTCATACGTCAATGTGGAAACGCTGTATTTAAAGGCATCGAGGATTAATATTCTTAGGAGAATTTTAATTATTTCTAAATAAACCGAGAGAAACAGTCAGTGAGTTCACACTGGCCCTAAGAGCCCTAAAAATACGGTTTTACGTTGACGTATGACATTTCTCTTGATGGAAATGAATTCTCTCGAGTTTGAAAATAGCCCCCCTGATCTGTATTATTTTACTGGATAGGATATATAGGCTATATTTAACATAATAATAAACCGTTTCACCAAGGAGACCGGGGGGTCGATTCTCGACTTAATTTGGTTGATTTTCCTATTAGGCATTCCAAAGACCTGTCCAAATGGCTACCAGTGGGTACTGACAGTTTAGATATGGCAACTATTGCTGCGTTTGAGAATCCACATCGGATGCATTTTTTACATCTCGAGCGTTTTTTTATCCACATCGGACACATCTGTCTCATTACATTTACGTATACTGAATCACGTGATCAAAGATTTTTTACATCTCAGATGCATCCGATGTGGATTCTCAAACGCAGCACTTGTTGTCATTAACAGGGTCAATGATACATATATGTTATATACATTGCTCAAAGCTGATCGTTTGCGAGCAGCCATATTGCCTGGCAAATATTTATTAATTTGAATCAGTTTAGCAAAAATGTGCTTTAAAACCAATTTTCAGATTTTAGATATTTAAAAAATAATAATTGCTTATATTTTTACTTCAAGGAATAAGCTTATGTTTATTTTAAAAAATAGGGATGATCAATCTACGTAACTATCTATTTCACTCACCTTGTCAAATCACCAGGCCTACAGAGTTGCCATAACTTTGCCACATCATAACCTGTCAAAACCCACTGGTAGTCATTCAATTTGGAATGCCTAATCAAACCACGTGATATTTTAACTGTCAAGATGGCGCTTGGTTGGCAGCATAGCCCTCACAAGGTCTAGATACCGCATCGTAAAAACATTTTGACCCCCATATGATGGGCGCCATGATAAATAAATGTCAATAATGTAACCTACCGCACCCAGGTACCTTAATAATTTATTAATTCCATTTATTAAATACAATGTTCCATTCTTTTAAATTTAAAATGCTTCATTTAACGAAAAAAATCTCCCAGATAATTAAATCTTATTTACGACACCTAATAAATAATATCTATAACCACGTCCGCAAAAGATGCACGTGGCTAAGTTCCTCGAGAAAGAAAACACCATAAAGTGTATTTCTGTTTACGAAGTAATTATCATTAAAACACTTAAGTCGCTTATTTTCCTAGTTTCGATGTTCAGACCGATATCGACAATATTTCGATACACAAAACTTTCAAGGCAAGTAATAACTAACCCACCCCCTTTTGCACCTACATTCGTATTTTCTATGAGAAACAAAACGATAGAGACGTCACAGAAACGATTAAACTGTGTATAAAAAGTCTGACGAAAATGAGCTCGGAGGGATTCAATTTTTATTATTTATTTATTTATTTATTTATTTATTTATTTATTTATTTATTTATTTATTTATTTATTTATTTATTTATTTATTTATTTATTTATTTATTTATTTATTTATTTATTTATTTATTTATTTATTTATTTATTTATTTATTTATTTATTTATTTATTTATTTATTTATTTATTTATTTATTTATTTATTTATTTATTTATTTATTTATTTATTTATTTATTTATTTATTTATTTATTTATTTATTTATTTATTTATTTATTTATAATACAATACTCTACAGGTCATAAACCCAATTACAGAGCAGGAATTGACAGAATATAATTATTAATAGATCACATTTTTTATATGAATGTTAAGCACATAAAAAGAACTTGTATTTCGTAATAGGTAACAAATTAACTAAGATAAAAAGTGAGATTTTATATCTGACAAATTGCAACTAAATATATCAAGTTCATTGACAATAGAATTTGTTACTGTACACATGGTATG